AATCAATAAGTTTAATAAAATTAATTCTAGAGTTGGTAGTAAAAATAACCAATAAGTTAAAAAAAACTGAGAATTAGGAATTGAAGCTACACAATCACATAGTAATATAATATTGTACAACTAAAAGCCCTGCTTCATTAGCAGTTATATTCAGTATTAGGAATAACCATGATGTAAATATTAGTACAAACTGTTTTGAATGGCCAATGACTAGTGTCATATTAGTTTTTATATATGTACGTACGTAGGTATTTACTGCTTTATATTCATTGGCAAATTTATCATATGTTTTGCCATATTAAACAGTTCGGACTATATTCCTTATAGGTATGGTCATTAAAGAAATGATTTATGCTTTCAAAAATCTCACTTATATGTGAAAAGTATAATGAATTTTTTTACATACAAACCATACATATTATATGACCAATTTCTACGTACAATGCTATTGTATTGCACGTATACATGCACAATATACGTACAGTACTTTGGTCAATCTTACATTATTCTATTCGTATAATTCTTTTAGTTGGTAATGTTAGAACAAATCTTATTTGTGCAAGTACGTAATAAACCTCCTACGTACGTAACAGGTAATAAATATTGAGATTTCAAATTAGAATGTTAAACATAGAATAGTCATTTGTATTAAGACATTCTTGTTTTCAAATTTCTTTTTTTATTTACTTCTGCATTAAATTAAAATTGCGTTGATCAAAATTTAAAGAGTTAGACATTACTAGTGTCTAAAATTCGAATGTATAGCTTTAATCAAATTGCTTTATTTCTGATCTGCACATTTAAATTTTAGACACTAGGCATTATACAGTATTTCATTATGATATCGGTGTTCAGATGTTCAAAAGCACTTTAATTCATTACATGGTCAGGCTTGCTATTGTATATACATAGTATTCTTGTAATAATTGAAAAATATTTTTTACAGTTCGCTTATATTAGAGTTAGTGTATATATAAGGTTTGGTGTTATTATAATTCTAACATTTGTACGTAGTATGTGGGTGAGATCGACCATAATAAAGGTTAGAGTTACACAGTATATTTAATATTAAATTATGCATCATGTAGATCAATTCATTGGATTTGGCAATATTCACGTGACAGTATTGTAATTCTAATATTCGTATCATAATTACCATAATAAAGGTTAGGGTTACACAGTATATTAATATTAAATTATGCATCATGTAGATCAATTCGGATTTGGCAATATTCACGTAACAGTGTTTATACACACTGTGTACAAATAGAAATGCTCATTTTTAAATATTTAATTATAACTATAATTTTTATATTTAGCTACAAGTACTCCAGTTGAAAGAATATTTTCTAGCAGTAAAAATATTATTACTGACAAACGAAATAATTTAAAACCAGAAACTATTAGAGCATGTATATGTTTAAAAGGATAGTGGAATATTGATAAAAATAGTAAAACAAATGAATAAATTTATAAAATATAATTTTATTAAAATTTTAGATAGATAGATAGAATATTATTATAATTTTTAATAAATATTATTTAGAAAATTATTGTTTAATATAAAATATTAAATAATTTAAATTATATACTAATCAAATAACAAGTTGAATCTAACTCAATATACTAGCTAGAATAGACAGACCAAACCTAATTTAATATACCAAGTAACTTAGCTAGAACAAGCAAAATTAACCTAGCTAAAAAAATAAATAAGATAACAAATTTAACATACCGAGTAACTTAACTAAAATAATTTAATGTAATTATAGTATAACCAAATAAGTTGATCATAATTCAATATGCCAAATAATCTGGCTAGAATAAGCAAGCTAAACCTAATTTAAAATACAAAATAATTCAGCTAGAATAAGTAAACTAAATATAATTCAAATATAACAAAATGACTTGGCCGAAATAAGTGAGTTGAATCTAATTTAACATGCCAAGTGACCTAGTGAAATAAATATATTGAACCTAATTTAGCATACCACAAATGACCCAACTAGAACTAAATTCAGCATGTTAAGTGACTCAGCTATAAAAGAATTGGATCTTAATTTATAAAATAAAATAACTCAGCTGAAATAAAAATAAATATAATCTAACATACCAAGTAACACAGCTAGAATAAGTAAACTCAATATACCAAACGACCTGGCTAGAATAATCATATTGAATCTTAATTTGTCAATACAAAAGGATCTGACTGAAAACATCAAATCAAACCTAATTCAACATTCCAGGATGGCTATACTGGAATAAATAAGATGGACCTAATTCAATATAACAAAAAATAACTCAGATAGAATAATCTAATTCAATATATCAAATAACTCGACAGAAATAAGTAAAATGAATCTAAATTAGCTTATCAAGTAACCCAGCTAGAATAACCTAATACAGTATATTAAATAAATAAGTAATTTGTACATAATTTAACATAGGAAAATAATTCAACTAGAATAAGTAAATTGAACAAACCAAGATAACCCAACTAAAATAACTAATTTAACATATCAAAATATTCTGGCTAGAATAATTAAATTAATAAAACTGAATTTAATTTAATATACCAGGTGCTCTAGCCGGAATAATCAAATTGAACCTAATTCAATATACCAATAAACCTATCCAGGTCATTTTGGTATGTCAAGCTAGGTAATCAAATTGAACCTAACTCAACATACCAAAATGATCTGGCTAGAATAATCAAATTGGACCTCAACATAAAATGGCCTGGCTAGAATAAACCATTTGGATCTAATTAAACATACTACGTAACCAAGTTAGAATAAGTATAATGAGCTTAATTCAACATAACAAAGTATTTAAACTGTTAATGAAATTAGACATAATTCAACATACCAAGTAACATGGCTAGATTAAACAAGTTAAATCCAATTCAGCATATCCAAATGACTCGGCTGGAATATCTAAATATATTAAATTTAATTCAATATACCAAATGACCCTAACTAGAATAATCAAAATAAATTGCAAAGTAACCCAGTTGAAATAACTAAATTAATCTGCTAGGTTAAATGATTGAACATAATTTAGCATATCAGATAACTCGACTAGAATAAGTTGTATATCAGATAACCTGAGTGAAATATCAAATCGAACCTAATTCAACATACCAAGTAAGGGTACCCTTATGTTGAGCGAAAATCAACCTCTGATCCAAAAATATTTGGTTTGGAACTAATAAAATCTCAGGATCTTGTGTAATAGAAACAACCTGCGAAAACAGTAAAAAAAAAGTGAAAATCCTAAACAGAGCCAAATTTTACTATGCTAACCAACTTCTGACCTCTAATTAAAAATGTTCAGCATTAAAATTTATATATATCACTTACTTTCTTATATTGATTTATGTATAATACTTAAGATACTCCAATCAAAGTATCTGGATCAGAAGGCAAGTAAACCAGCTAGAATCAACAGATAGAATAAGTAAATTAAGCATAAAAAATAGCCTGGTCAACTGGAATAATTATATTAAATATAATTCAATATACTAAGCAATCCAGTTGGAATAAGCAAGTTGAACATATTTCAATATACCAAAATAAACCTATTTCAATCTACCAAATGCCTAGTTGGAATAATCAAATTCAATATACCAAGTAACCCAGCTCGAATAAGCGAGTTGAACCTGATTCAGCATAGCGAATAATAAAAAAATTAAGTATAAAAAACATGACCCAGCTAGAAAAGCAAATTAAATATACCAAAATGATCTGGCTAGAACAGCTAATTCAACATAACAAAATGACCCGGCTAGAATAATTATATTAAATAGTTAAGTGATCTGACTGTAATAAGCATGTTGAACTTAATTCAACATACCAAGTAACCCTGATAGAATAAATAAATTAACTATTAAAAAAAAGACCCAGTTGAAATAAATAAATTGAAAATTGAACATACCAAAATTATCAGTTGGAATAACTATAATATACCAAAATGATCTAGCTAAAATAGGTGAGTCGGATATAATTCAAAATTAAATGGTTCTGGCCTGAATAATTAAATTAAACATACCAAGTAACCTGATCTAAATAAATAAATTAATATAATTCAATATAACAAAATGGCCCGACTGGAATAAGTAAATTGAACATAATTTAATATATCAAGTAATCTGTCTAGAGTAAGAAATCTGAACCTAATTCAATATACCAAATAACTCAGCTCGAATAAGTAAGTTAAACCTAATTTAACATACCAACTAACCCGGCTAGAATAAATAAATTAAACATAAAATACTCAATAAGCAAGTTGAACCTAATTAAAATGCAAAATGATCTGGCTGGAATAAGCAAGTTGAACCTAATTCAATCTAACAAGAAGATCTGGCCGTAATAATCAAACTAAACCTAATTCAACATACTAAAATGGCCCCGCTGGAGTAATTGAGCTGAACCTAATTCAACATATCCAGCTAGAATATGCAAGTTGAACTTAAATTCAACACACCAAGCGACCAGACTAGAGTAAGTAAATTAAACATAATTTAACATAACAAATGGCCTATCTAAAATAACTAATTCAATATAAAAGAATAACCTTGCTAGAATAGAAAGTCAAACTAATTCAACATACTAAGTAATCCAGCCAAAATAATTAAAAAAATGGTACAGCTGGAATAAAAATATCAAACTTAATTTATGTGCTGAAATAACTCAGCTGGAATAATCAAGTTAAGCTTAATTCAACATACCAAAATAACCTGGCTGGAATAATCAAACTGAACCTAATTCAATATATCAAAATAAGAATTGAGCCAGCTGGAATAAATCAAGTAAAAAGTAATTCAACATAACAAAATGATCTGATTTGAATAAGTAAAATAACTTGGCCAAAATGAGCAAGTTGAACCTAGGGTGAGATCCATCTATCCGTTCAGATAAAACAAAGTTTATCTGTGTCTGTCTATTCGTCTTTGAATAACTCAACAAATATTTGGTTAAACCAGATAATAAAAAGTAATTATGTTGCAGAAATGGGTGTTATGATATAAAAATAAAAAAGGCTGAATTAAACTTAATAATGATCATAAATCAAATAACGAATAATTGGATAATTCGATTTAATAATCTGAAATCAAAAATTTAATCGAATAATTAATAAAATTCGGATTATCCGGTCATTCAGATATATTGGTTCCACCTCTAGTTAAATATAATTTAACATATCAAGTAATCCAGCTAGAATAATTAAGTTAAACATATAAGTGAGACAGCTAGAATAGACAACAAATCTAACCTAATTCAACTTACCAAAAAAAACACGGCTAGATAACAAAATGACTCAGTTGAAAAAGCAAGTTGAAACTTATTCAACATACTAAATGAGCCAGCTGGAATAACCAAGAAAACATAATTCAATATAGCAAAATAATTTAGTTAGAATAAATATGTTAAATCTAATTCAAATTACCAATATAACCCAGCAAGCTAAAACTAATTCAATATACCAAGTGACCCGGCTAGAATAATTGAACATACAACATAAGCCGGCTAGAATAAATAAATCAAATCTAATTCAGCATATAAAAATAACTCAGCTAGAATAAGTATATCAAATATAATTTGATATAACAAAATAACCCAGTTGGAATAGGTAAATCGAACCTAATTCAACATACTAAAATTGACCCAATTGGAATAAATTTATTGAACATAATATTAATATAATAAAATGACTCAGTCTGAAAAAGAAAGTTGAACCTTATTCAACGTACTAAAATTACCTGACTGGAATACCGACTGAACATAATTCAACATATCAAGTGACCCAGCTAAAATAATCAAATTGAACATATCGACTGGAATATATTAATAACGGGCTAGAATAAATAAGTTGAACCTAATTCAGTATGCTTAAGTGACCCAACATATCAAAAAGACCTAGCTGAAATAAGCAAGTTGAACTTATTTCAAAATACCAAACAACTTAACTGGAATAAGCAAACTTAATTCAATATACCAAGTGACCCGTCTTGAATAATCAATTTGAACTTAATTAAACATACTAAGTGGCACACCTTGAATAATCAATTTTAACTTAATTCAAAATACCAAGTGATCCACCTTGAAATAAGTAGGTTTATTCGTCTCTTAGCATTATACACTATTCACTGCATTTCTCGTACTTCTCCTAACTATTCATTCAATATACACAAACGTTTCAAGGTAATATAACAATATTTACCAAGAGCTTTTTTATGCAAGAAAATTTAAGTTCGATTTTACAGAACGAACCTTCTTATTTATTTACTTTTTTACATGCATGATTACATAATCAATCTGTTAAAATAGACTTTTAAATTACAAACTTTAAAATTACATTGATTTAATTATCCATCCTGCGTAACTTCAGCATTAAATAATATGTGAAATCAAATATATCCTACGTAGCAACCGGCTGAAATAATCAAATTAAACCTGATTCAATATACTAAAGTAAACTGATTAAATAAGTATATTAAACCCAAGCAAAAATAATCAAATTGAACATAATTCAACATATCTGGCCGAAATAAATATATTATGTAAAACTTAATTTAGCATAACAAGATAACCCGATTGAAATAATTGAATTAAACCTAATTCAATATAACAAAACGAACCGGTTGGCATAAGTATGTTAAATCTAATAAATTAAAAATGATATAAAAAATTAAAAACGGTTAAAAAAAATTAAAATGATTAAAAAAAAACTTAAATTTGAAAATTTTAAAAAAAAAATTTTAAAAATTAAAAAAAAAATAACAATAAATTATAAATATAATTAAAAAAAAAAACTTAAAATAATTAAAAATAATTAAAAAGTTAAAAAAAAACTTAAAATAAACTTAAATATAATTTAATAAGATTGTAGTTAAAACAGTACAATCAGACCTACCTTTAAATATACGCTCTATGAAAAGCCTCTCTAAATGCATGTCTTATCTTGGGTCCAACTAATGTAACATGGATTTTTACCTCCCTAAATATATTACCTCTCTAAATGCACGTTTGAATCAATTTTTGTATATGGTTCTGTCGCAATGCATTTAGAGATGTCTGACTGTATTATGAAAAGATACGAAAATCCATCCTTCTAAAGTTGCTATAGAATATCAAGATCTAAAGATTCTATGATCGTTTTGAATTATGCAAGTAAAGGCCAATTGTGTCAGAATCTTTATTCAGTTGCATGAAATGGAAAGATAAGTCAAATCTTTTGTATTGCATTCAGACTTTGAATAAATCCATTCTCAAAAATTGAAATTTATGTTCTGGAAAATCTTGCAAAATCGAAATTTAAATAATGTATACATTACAGGTTTAGGAGTTTCGACATCGTCTGACACGGAACAAAAAGAAAAATGAATGGAGCTATGTCATATATAGCACCTAAAGTTCTAATGGACAAACCGTTTACACAAGTGGCTGATATATATGGCCTTGAAAGAAGAGTATTTGTGGTGAACTTCTTGATAATGATCTTGCATTAGAAATTTGCTGGGATAAAAAACCAGAACTAGATGATGGAACACCTGATTATTACATTAAATTGGCCAAGAGATACATGGACCAAGATAAGAATAATCAGCCCACGGCAACTGTTATTGCACACAAAATTGGTCAATGGATTCAAAATACTAGTATAACTCAGTTGAAATACAGTATAACCTCGATATAACGAAGCTCTGGAGCTGGAGGTTTTGCTTCGTTATATCTATATTTCGATTCATCAAGGTTCCTCAATATAACGAATTTATATATGATTTTATAAAACATTCGGTTTAAACATATGTACCCTCGATATAATGAATTTGTATATAAATTTTATAAAACATTCGATATACATAATGAGCCCCGATGAGAATTTATATCTAAATTAATACAATATTTACTTATAGGCCACACAGTATCGATCTATCTATTAATTCACACAATCATTATATGTGTAGTTATTAATTTTATTATAGTAAGGTGAAATTAAAATAAAACTTTCATTTTCATCGTTGCCTGTAATAGGCATATACAGTACTCTTTACATGTCGTCTAAATTAATACAATCTGTTAGATTATAGAAAATTTTTAAATGTAATGAACAAATAAAATGCTCTGTTAATAATCCGTACAATTTAAAAAATCTTCAAAATCGATCGTTTCATCTTTACCCATCAATATTTCTAGACCAAAATTAGATGATGGTAAAGGTGGCAAGCGTCGCATCTAAATAAAAAGCCATTAATGCAATACAATAAATAAGACCCGCAAAATGATGAGTGACGCCAAGTAAAACCTAGAATAGTGATCAAAAAAATCACTATTCTAGGTTTTTACTTGGCATCGCTCATATATCAACCCACCTTGGACACAATACTCTGTTCCATAATATGTCTTAGTGGTAAATGAATGCCGAAGATAATTCTTTGCATGGTAAGTTTCTGGTTTGTTTCTTCACGCTGTTGTAAAAATATTGGAATTACAATAATGTTAATTTATATTTACTGTAATCAAAAATTTTAAAAACTTGGTTGAGCATATTTTTAAAGAGACAAATTGTAAAACCTTAACTTTTGAGGACTCAGGCCTATAGCAATAATGGGTAGAAGAATCTTCAGAATTTACGGTAGGTACTGCGGTATTAGTAGAAGCGTATGATGAGGAAGCTATATTGTGAGACTGAACTTTCTGTAAATGCAATATGGTAAGTTTCATTCTATAAATGAGCTACTGTTTAAAGTAAAGTTTAGTTTCCCAATAAACCTTCATTGTAGTACATTAATCGGAATAAGATTTGTCGTGGACTAGTCGCTAAGTTATTTTTTTTTTTAAAAAAAAAAATTTGGATAAAACGTTTAAAATCATGATTTGAATTCATAAATTGATTGGCCTAGCGAAACAGTAGTAATCTACTGTAATAATACCCATTACATAAAACAGAACTGCGAATAAAATTTTGATATATAAAGTATTCTAGAATAGACACAAAGCTATAAGTTACTAAAAACCAAATACCGTATAGTATAAAACGTATATATCATTCTAATCGCTTACCTGTAAAATTTCAAATTTAACTAGCTAAAACATTTCTTAAAAAAAAAAAAAAAAAAAAAGGTAAAAAAAAAAAAAAAAAAAAAAATTCCTATATTATATCCTTTGCATAAAATGGACACTTTCAGAACTACAGTTATTCATTGTTAAAAAATAATTCCAGACTTGTCTGCTTTTTTTGTTGTATGATTAAGCTTGAAATTCGTTTTTTAAGCGAGTTTACGATTTTTGAATCTTCATTTTCAATGCGCAGATTTTCTGGTGGATTAGCTAAAAACAATCTAATATTCTCCAAGCTTTCCATTGCCGTATTAAGTGAGATTTGAATTGGGGGTTCACTCTCATCATCTTCATCTTCCTGAAGTGCAGCGATGATTTCTTGATTTGATGGAATTGCAGTTGTAGGTAATTCATTATCGATATTTATATATTCTGATGCTGATAAAACATCATTAACGTTAATAGGAAGCTGTTCAATTAAATTATGAACTTCTAATTGATCACTATAATATTCATCATAGCGATAGTCATCTAATGGTAAGTCATTATTGTCTAATTCAACTGGAAGAATTCCAGTCTTATGCCAACAATTTCTAATTGTTTCATTTGAAACTTCATTCCACGCCAATGCACAATAATCAATTGCTTCTTTTATATTAACTGGGCTTGGAGGAGTTTGACTTATTTGTGCAAATTCATATGCATCCAACCGGTTTTGAATAAGATAACGTCTGTACTTGGCCTTATAAAAAAAAATTAAAACTTTAATAAAGTAATGTATTACATGTAAATTTATTTATACAGTATTACTATAATGTATATACTTTAAAAGAGTTAATAATTCCAGCGTCCATCGGTTGGATATGGGCTGTGGTATTTGGAGGTAGCTTCTCTATTTTTATATTAGTTAACACTAAATCTTCATCAAGAACATGAGTTGATGCCCCGTCAATTAAAAGTAATATGTGACGCTTTTGAAGTCGCATTTTTGAATTCAAATCTTTAAGATAAAGATTCCAAATAGATTTTTGCATCCAAGCGGATTTGTTCCAAAAATAATCAACAGGCAACTTGCTTTTATCCATGTTTCGAATTGAATGTGGATTTTTATATTTATGAATTAACAATGGTCTTAACCTTTCTGAGCCAGTTGCATTTGTAGTTAACAATACTGTAACACGATCTTTTGCCTTTTTAGTTCCTGAAACTGGTCCCATTGCTAATGTACGAGATGGTTCCAATCTATAATATAAACTGGTTTCATCGCAATTAAAAACATTATCAAGCTGATATGGTTGAATAATACTTTGTAATTTACTCCTAAATTCAGGTAATTTGTCTAAAGGTGCACTATCAGCTTCACCTTGACGTTTGTATTCACGAATATTGTGCCTTTGCTTAAAATTATGCAACCATCCATTTGATGCATTAAACTTATCTTCATTTAGTAATTGAGCGAATTCTTTTGCCTTATTTTGAATAAGATAACCAGTTAAGGTTTGCTTATTTCCTATCACATGTTCAACCCAAAGTGCAACGGCTGACTCAACATTTACAAAAACAGGTCTTTTGTTCCGTTTATTATTTGCGCCATTAGAAGTTGGATTAATAGATAACCAGTGGTCTGACTTTGCTAAAATCTCACTACAAGAAGATTCACTAATTCCAAATTTGGCTGCAAGTTCCCGATTTTTAATACTAGGCTCATTTTTTTTCTGAAGACATAAATCATACCGTTGGCTATTGGTCAAGGTAACTCTTTTTTTCTTTTGAGTATTATTAGGCTCATTTTCAATTTGCCGCTTATTTGTAGCTGTATTCATACTGAAAAAAGAGACAATGTAAAAATTTCAAGTAAAAAAAATACTTATACTTTGATTATACTTTGATTACACTTTGATTAAGTTACACAAAGTTTCGTTATATAGTAAATATTTGCTTAATATTTCGCTTTATTAAGGTATTTGTTATATCAAGGTAATTTTCTTATAAATAAATTGTAAATTGTTTCGTAATACGATATACCGAGGTTTTATAATTAAAATTCGTTATATTGAGGTAATTTTAAACTATAAAATTCTAGCTGAAAAAAATATTCGTTATAATAGCACTTTCGGTTTATTGAGGTTCGTTATATCGAGGTTATACTGTAT